CATAAGAAGTTTTAGTATTTTGGTTTATCGTCTTTATTAATTATTTTATCATTTTTAACAAGAATTAACAAAATCTAGAGATGTACCTGCGAAAGCTCCTACCATTAACGAAAATATTGTGAATAGAAATCTTAGTCCGAAACCGAAGCCTTCTGCTCATGTGCTGGGCAATAACCACAGAGTTATCGAGCTTGAGAAAGAGTTTTCTTTGAAATTTTTCTTATTTTCTTTTATAAAAATATAGTTCTTTCAACAGAAAAACCAGCAGAATAAATATTTTTAATCTTACATAGAACTCGGGAAAATTCAAGAAACACCAACAAAAGATTTTATCAAAATTTTCAACTTTTTAATTTGATTTCTTAGAAAACGTATGCAGTTTAGTTACTGTAATAAGGCGTAAGTTTCAAGTCTCTAAAAATTGCCGTTGATTTTTGAGATTTTTTTTTTGTTAATGGTTTTGCGCATTTTCTTCTATATAAAAATAGATTTTGTAGATATTTATTTGTTTACTATTGCTTGAATTTTCGCCTCGAGTTCTCTATGAAATTGAAAAAATTTATTCTGCTGGTTTTTGCTGTTGAATGAACTATTTTTTTTTTATAAAAAAAAATAAAAAATTTGGTATGGAAAAAATAATTAAATAAAATCGTCAAAACGTCAAGGTATTCATATTTTTGACGCTTACTGTATATTTTTCTATTACGCTTTACACTGGAGCGCACCAGGTTTAGGCGAACGCGCTCAACGCCAACATTTTGGTCCTACATGAGTCTTACTTATTTATTTAATGTTAAATGTTTTCTTTTCAGGTATACAGCAAAGTGGAGATCACAGTATACAAAGAACAACGCGTCAAAGAGAGATACGAGCCAACACGTGACACTTAGGTCACTGCCCTATACGTCTTTAAATAAAATAAATGCAAGTATCGCCGTCACAAACTTTGCTGGGACTGTCAATGGCTGAACTAGCCGAGGAGGTGGTGGTGCAAAGCACCCCAACTGATTGGATATAGATGACGAAAACTATAAACAACTTTAAAAATGTATGTTTATATGTTTTTTTTTTTTAATGGAATGTGGAGGATTGAAGGCAAGTTGTTTACACATTAAATAGCTTTTTTCCGGTTTGGTATTGTTAAGAGAAAGTATTTATCACAGTGAAATAATTTCTAAAGTGAAATGAAGGCTATTTTAATTATTATAAATAGTGTCGTGTTTATAGTTTTTAATTCAGTTTGAAAAATGTCAAGAGCCTTTTATTTCGTTGGTGTTAAGTCTGGCTGGAACGAATTTTTGTCTGGACTACGATGGATTTCACAATGGTTACATCGGAATATAATATCATTATTAAAACCAACTACCACTGCGTTTGAACGTGCTTACGCGTAAATATTGGTCCTTATGACTCGTACTTATTTATTTAATGTTAAATGTTTTCTTTTCAGGTATGCAGCGAAGTCGAGGTCACAGTTTACATATGTACGAGGAAGTTGGTGGTGAAGTTGAACAAGGTGGATGGACCCCCACGATTAGGGAGTTAAAGGCGATCGCCGCTAAAATAAGTGGGGTCGTATACGGTATGGAGGGGACAAACAATGAGACTGTGAAGAGGCTGATGGAGTACTGCTCGGAGTATGAGGAGCTTCTGATGACGGCGTTAGTCGAGAGTTCCCATCTTCGCGGTCAGTTGGTGAATGTCCAGAATGGCGGCGCTCCTGCACGTGTGGCAGGCAGGACTTGTACGCCGATGATGCCTGCTCCGGATGCCGACAAGCGCGTAGGGACGTATTCCGGGGTTGTTACTTGCGTGACGTTAGGATCCGTGAGATTAAATCGGCGATGGGAGGAAAGGCCATTATTCGCGCACCCTCCGTTGCTGAAATGGAGAAGGTGGGGCTGGACGTCAGCAGGAATGAGAAGCTGGAATCCAGTATTGTGATTGAGGGGCTTCACACTGCGATATCTCCTGACTAGTTCATGCAAGAGATATTCGAAAAGAACCTCCGGAAGACAAAACCTGAAAGTCTCTAGACGGACGTTAGGATGGTTAATCGTCACTGGACGCGAAAGCCAATTTAGTCTTGCGGGGGTTCAGACGATTTAATCTACGGCCTACTTGCTACGGAACGTTTGCTAGGTCAAAAAGGATGTATGTCGGAGGGGTGGACAGTAGGGACACCATGCGGCGCGTTGCGACAATGCTTTTAGGGGCTGCCGGAAACAAAAACTTACAATAGGAGATAAAATGTATAAGAACGTGTTTCTCCTGTTTTGGTACACTAGTGTTAATTTCCAGGTGTATCGAAAATGGCGCTAAATGCGCTGGTTTTACTCTAGTGGAATATTAGGAGGCACTGCTGCTAACCAACCGATCCATTGTCGGATAATTAACAATCATTAAGATTCTTCCGTCCCATACACAAATGTTTTTTAACCTTCCCTGGGGATGAGAGCATAACTTCCATCCAGCGATTATAAATATATTATATAAAAAGACGACACTTTTGCCTCTTCTTTATTTATATATTTTTCTATTACGCTTTACACTGGAGCTCACCAGATTTAGGCGAACGTGCCACCGATATTCATTGGTCCTACATGAGTCTTACTTACTTATTTAATGTTAAATGTTTTCTTTTCAGGTATACAGCAAAGTGGAGATCACAGTATACGTATGTTTATACAGATATGTAAACTGAGTAATAAAGGTACATCGAGGAATCGCGCCAACGGGAGATTAAAGCGAGCGAACACAGAACACTTACTTAGGTTATGGCGTCATAAATATGAATAAAATATATGGATAACATTATAATCAGATCCAGGAATGCTCTTAGGATGAGTATTTTGTGAAAGCTTGGCAAAGGAAGCGGATCAAATGTTGATGGAATCCAACGAAGAGTGTCAAGATCCCGATTCACATTTCCCATATCAAATTTTGAAGATTTGGGATGATGTGTTCGCAGTGCATACTTCGCCAGACTTAATCCTGCCATCAATTTTTTTGCAATTTCAACGAAATATTAACGCCCGAATGATATTGGATCGAAATATCACCGAGTTCCTGTCGAACGCCCAGGATGATACGTCCATATGTAATAAATTCTCATAACTGGTTTCTTCAATTGGTCGAAGGGGGAAATGATAGAAGGGTAGAGGTTTAATTTGTAAATAGATTAATAATAATATATATAGGATATTATTATACAAGTTTAAAAAGAGATTTTGGTGCAAGCACCGCAACCGATAACGGACCAGACGCCAAGCGAAGAAGACCTGCAGAAGATTCTGAACCTTCTACATCTACTGAACCAGATTCTTTATACGTTGAAAAAGTTAATCATCGTAATAATATTGCTCCTGTTATGGATGTTGATCAAGAAAATATTTATCAACAAAGTGGTTCGGGTCGTGGACCGAATACGGGTGCAAGGTCAGGAGCGACAGGAAGTGGAGATTCCTCTAATCAGAGTATCACATGGATAAGACCTAGTACACCATGTTCTAATAATTATATGAATTTTTCTAAATCAAGAATTTTAATTAGTTATGGTTACAGTACTGAAAATATACAATCTAGTGATACCATTGATCAAATAACTACTCCTTTAGCATTAATACCAGTAGATTTTATACCTTTCTATTTAAGTGAAGCAGAATATGATATGTTACCAACCACAGCTGAAGTTATTAAAGTAACATGTCAAGTAACACCATTAGGAACACGTACGGCATTTGATGTCGGTTCAACTGTTTCTGGAACTGCAACTTCAGAATATGTTCCAATTGGACTTGTTTTAGAAGGAGTTAATAAAAAATTTTATGGAAAAAATGTGAAATATACATCAGAAGGAACAAATCCTATGAAAGTAACTGATGTTAACGAAATGAATGTAAAATAAATGTATGAAAGATATTATAAACATATTCCTTCTAATGCATTATGTGTACCTACACCTCTTGATCACTATTTTATACATGAATGGAATAGAGAAAAAACACCTGATAAAAATAAATATCCTGATTATATTATACATGATAAAGGAAGTGTTAGAATGGATGAAAAAGTTCATCAATTTTTAATAAATCAAGCTATTGGTATTCCTATAGCAAATTATGAATATAAACCTAAAAGTGGATTTATCAAAAGAGGAAAAGAACATTTTGTTCCTGAATCACGAAAATCATATAAAGTACATTCAACAATAACGCGTCCACATAGTCATGTTCTTCAATTTTTTAAAGCTGGAAATAAAATAATATCAGGTGATATAGGTTTATCAAAAACTTCTACAGTACCAATTGTTATTAATAATATAAATGATGTTTATGCAAGAACTATAGAATCTTATGGAACATATCATCCATTAAGAGGTGGATTTGGATATGATACACAACCACAATTACATGTGGGTTTAATTGCTACACCACAATTAAAACCAACAGATAACTCTTCTAGTTATTTAAATAGTGCTTGTTATTGGAAAGTAGAATGTTCCATAGAAATAAAATGTAATATATCTTCTGCATTTGGAAAAGGATTTAGTGTAAGTTGGCCTTTAGAAACTACATTTTGTGCTAATTACGATCGTGCATATACAGATGGTCAAACTTTATTTGGTGTAACAGCGCAGCAATTTTCCTATTCATGGCTTAGCTTAATCATGGCCTACGGCCGATAAGCTGCCGAAGAAAAATTGCTGCGCTGCCCCTATCGAAGTCCGCTGCCGACGTTTGTCGTCGTCGTCGTTCAAATTTTTTATTATTTTTACCATGCATATTCGAATTTGCATATACGATTTTGAGTATAAATAGAAGAAACTTACTAGATTAAAATCAAATGTTTTATTACAGTGACAGTGAGAGTACAAGTAGTGTTTGTTCGTATAATTATTCAGATTCAAATAAATCTGAAAATGGAATTTCAACTACTTTATATGTAAAGAGTACTTTGAAATGTTGATTAGTCATTTTACTCCATAATGTTGATTAATCATAAAGCAAATTACTCAAATAGTTTTTTTTTTTTGGTTAATCGAAATCAATTAATTGCACAGCCCTACTACGCAACAAATTTACCCATGACGCCAATGACACGTTAAAAAATCATGGAACAGTCTTAAATTTTGATGCGATAATAGCAAGACCCGATTTCGCATATTCGGACAAATGGGCAAAAACTAAGCGTCCCTCGACAAGGCGCTATGTCGGTTGTTGAATACTACAACCTGGTAATTAACACTATTAACAAATAAGTCAGTAACGACGCATGGAAGTAATGCGGACATAACGATATAATTAAACAGGGATCATGCACCAAGGATTTTCATAACGGGACTAATGGCACCTTTATGTCCCTTATTTACGATTTTACGCAAACGTCATAGCTGTGAAGCTGTGCTTTTTTGTGCTCTGATAAAATTTCACATTTTATAAAGTTGTTAACATTTAATAAAGTAAATAATACGAAAAAAGTGTGAAGATTGAAGATAAGTAAAATATCAAAGTTTCCTGTGAATTTGATCAATTTAACTTAATATTCTTGATTGCATGTGCCGAAGATTTACCAGATGCTCTAGCCAAGACTCAAGAGCTAGAGTCCAAGAACCAAAGGGCACAATTCGCCCTAAATTTTTCCAATGAAAAAAAAAACTAAAAACAAAAAATAAATAAATAAAATTATGCAAAATAACAGAAAATTAAGTTTAGCAAATTACGCAGTACTGCTTCCGTATCAAATATTCAGCTTGTGTGCAAAAAAACGGACGCAAAATTTTATAGACAACATTTAAAGTGTACCCAATATGAAACCATAAACTTACTAGCACTTCTTGTCAACCTTACATATGTATGTATCTAACAGTCTTAAATCGAAGTTTTTCCTTTCAAATTAGCAAATTGGGTTCCAAACAAGAAGATGTTTCGCGAAAATGCGTATAAATGCAAAAAAAAAAACAATTTTAAATAAACTTAATCCATAAGCTAACATAAGTAACGCATATGTGCCTCATATAATAAAGATAAGCGTTACATTTCTATATACATAGTATACCTATATTACTTTTTGTTTACAATTGAATATTTACACTACGCAAATATCAAAAAATAAATAAAATAAGCAGATAAATAAGTAATGAATAAAGTTTACTTGTTATCGGCAAACAGCTTCAGTAGTCCATTGGTGTCCCCGCCGCCGCATTCGTTGACACTGCTGCTGACGGCGATACCACGAAGAGTAGTGGCAATTGCAGCCTAAACATTTTTTCATGATTCACAGCCACCGCCGAGACGGCGACAGCAAAGTCGCGATTGTTATATGAAACGCAGAGTTTATTGCCGCCGCAAAATATATTCCTATGCGCATACCAGCGACGATGTGGTGGCACCACGCCCGCCGTTAACGGCCGATAACGATTGCTTGATGCTGCTGCGGCCACCGCTGTTGTTGTTAGTGTTGTCGTTGGCCACTTATTTACTGAGCAAGTTTTATGTTTACAGTAACTGCTTAAGCCCATCATATGCAGCCCTCGTCATTCATCCCATAGACATTGTTGTTTCTGTCGCACATAATAGGTAAATTGGCTACATTTGCGACACGTCTTAATGCCGCAGCGATAGTTGGGCTGTGCCGCCGCCGATGAATCGCCGCCATTCTTGGCTTTGCAATATTTGAGGCCACAAGGATACCAGCCGATACAGGTTTCGAGCGTACACAGACAAGGTGCCCATAAACCGCTCACCTCATTGCAACGTGAGAAGAGGGTGTCGGGAAATTTCTCAGCGGCCGCTTCCAGGCTAGAGATGGAGGAGCCTGAAAGTAGAGAGGGAGGAGTAGAAAATATTGTTAGAAACATCTGCTAAAACAAGAACAAACATGGACTTATAATTTTTTAATTAGGTTTGGCGGGAAAAAGAGAAAAAAACCGCGGAGCGTTTCCAAAGCTATCGGGGCCTACGTTGCACAATGTGGTACATACAGTGGTAAAAAAAAATTGTAGACGCACCGCATATTGACAAGTTTTCAACAATAAGTTTTTTTTGTTACTTAATTTTAGTTACTTTTTTTAATAAAAATATGGTCGATTCTGTAACAAAAACGATATACATAAATACAAGATTTAACAATACACAATTTCGTACAGACTTCGAGGTTTTTACCTTCCTTTTATTAGCTCGGGATGTAACTATGTAATATTGATGCGCCTAAAAGATGCAGCGATTTCTATTCTCAAGTCACATACCTGATGACAGTACGAATGGCAATTATAATACGGAGGTTTTAGTTTTTTAAACTATAATTTTATTATTTATTAAATCGATTTCTTAGAAAGATTTTGAGTATGCAGCTTTGTAGCGCATTCAGTGACTAAAAATTACCGTTGATATTTTAGAATTTTTCTGATGCATTTGCTTCCATATAACGAATAAACATGATTTATTTTTATATGGAAGAAAACCAAAATACCTTCGGCAAAATATGAACTAACGGACGAAGTCCAGAGGTTCATTAAGCAACCTCTGGACCCGACAGCCTACAGACAGGCCTTGAACGGCATTCACAGGGACTCAGTCTCGAGTTATGTAGACTCTAGACCTGTGAATGCCGTTCTAGGCACACCGCCCCCCGGACATTGACGAGACGGAGCTTCATCTGCCTCGGGAGACGCGCACCACACTTGCACAACTTCGCTCCGGCTACTGCAGCAGGTTAAACTCCTACCTGAGTAGGCTGAATGAGGATGTGCCTAATGAATGTCCGGCATGCGGAGAGACCCCACATGACTCGAAACATCTCTTCGCATGCCCGGCAAACCCGACATCCCTAACGACCTTGTCCTTATGGGCAAACCCCGCAGAAGCTGCACGCTTCCTAGGGTTGCCGTTAGTGGAACTTGACGACAACGACTGAGATACCAACCGATCTGGGCGGGGTTGTTGTAGCCGCTACAACAACAACAACAACAACAACAACCTTCGGCAAAAGAAAATTCTAACAAGTAATTTTTAGCAAAAAAAAACCGACTTCAACTCTCAAATAAAAAAAAAATATATATATATATATCTCATGATCCACTGATCGGATCTTAACCAGATTAGTATGGGACCACCTCTGAGACACTACCTTTCCGATGCAGAATTATCGAAATCGGTTGACGTGGTCCAAAGTTATGCGGTAACATACGTATAAAAAAAATAAAATAAAAAAAAAACAAGTAAGAAAGTCTAAGTTCGGGCGGAGCCGAACATTAAATACCCGGCGCAAGTATTAAATATATGTTTTCCACCTTTCCGAAAGCTACCGCTACATGATAAGCCGGTGTGTATAAATTTTAAGTAAACTAGCGTCCTTAAATTTCAAGATATTGAAATTTCAAGCATTTCTGAAATTTACCGTTATATGAAAAGCGGCCGTAATTTTAGTCCGATTTCAACAATTTTCAATGGTTTACTTTTATGTGGCAAGCACAATAACCACACCGAGTTTGGTACAAATTGCTAGAACGGTTAGCGAGCGTGATCATAAGTGGGCGGTGCCACGCCCATTTTCCAAAATTTTATCATAAACATATTTCCTGGCAAAGAATTGTTGCAACCATCATTTTGAAAAAATTAGCTTTAATATTTACTGATTTATCGAGGATTTCGTATTTCTCGAAATTACCGTTTTATGGGATGTGGGCGTGGTTATTGTCCGATTTTAAAAATTTTCGGCCATTTGGTATGCTGTACCAGGGCCAACAACTGTGCCAAGTTTGGAAGAAATTGATGCAGCGGTTACCAAGATATACACATGTAACCATAAGTGGGCGTGGCTACGCCCATTTTCAAAAAAAATTTTAATATTCTTATTTTTCGTCTAAAATTTATTGTAAATATCAGTTTTGAGTGAATAATCTTCAGTAGTTACTAAAATATCGCAGTTTCCGTATTTCTGAAAATTACCGTTATATGGGAGGTAGGCGTGGTTATTGTCCGATTTTGCCCATTTTCAATACCATCCGTCCTACGCCCGAAAGAAGTACACGTACCAAGTTTCGTTAAGATATCTTAATTTTTACTCGAGTTATCGTGTGCACAGGCGGACGGACAGTCGGACGGACAGTCGGACGGACAGACGGACGGACGGACGGACGGACAGACAGTCACCGCTTAATCGATTTCTCTTTTCATTCTGATCATTTATGTATACATTTGTCTATATCTATCCCGATTCGTTTTGCCTGTTACAAACAACCGTTATGTGAACAAAGTTATAATACCCTTCTGCACAAGTGAGCTCGGGTATAAAAACAACGACGACGAACTGATAACCTCCTCCTTTTTTGGAAGTCGGTTAAAAAAATCAACGTTAATTTTTAGTCAGATGAAACTTGTACTTTATTAAACTAGAATTAAATGGGCTACTCAACTGCATTTATCTTTATTAAAAAAATCACAAAATCAACATTAAAACTGCATTAACAATAGCGATTTTCGAGTAGATTTTTTTGACGTTCGACCAAATTCCTTTTCGCATCACTTCTATGCCCGCTTTCAAAATAGGTTTTCTACTGCTCATATTTGGAAAAAGTTTTTTTTTGCAGCATCGACTTTTGTGAGCATGTGTGTGTAAATGCTTTTGCCAGATTATTTCTCCATCGGTTTTCCATTCCACAAAAATCGACCCACGGAAAGGCAGCTTTTCGGTTACATTTAAGGAGTTGAAAATTAAATTACGATAACAATATCGATATACATACATATGTACATGTACATGTACGTACATTAGAGCGTACCTCCTTACAAGGAAAAGAAATGTTCGCTGTACACTTTCCGAGTCTAAAATATTATTCCAGGAGATATTTTTCAGAAAAATGGCACATACATTGGGCAAAGAAAAATTAAACAGTTCTAATGAAATAATCGAAACAATTTCTTAGCAAACGTTTAATTATTTTTAGTGATATTTTATTTACTGACATTAGGGAGGTACTTCAAGGTATAAGAGCTGAGATCTGGAAGGTAAGTACTAGAACGGAGTACTTGAGGCCGATGAACTTAGGAAAAAAATATTCTCCACGGGATAAAACATCGATATAAATTCTAATACAAATAAAACGATAAAAAAGCGATTATTCTATCGATAAAAATCGGATTCATAGTCTACTTTCACTATCAAAAATACATTCATAATATTATCTCTATATACAGGTTTCTATAATTATATCGATCAATTTATAGACTACAATAAATTTTTCGATAAATACAACAAAATATTTATGATAAAAATTCCGATAAAAATATTTCGACGAAAAATCTACAACTTTGTCGTTAACATAAACAATAAATAAACATTGGTTAAGAGATCCGGATATTTATCGGTAATATAAATATAATTGTAGATATTAAAGAAAAATTAGTATTAGAGTAACAGAAGCCAAATCAACAATTTTTAGAATTTTTGTCTGACTGCCTGTATGTTTGTATACGCATCACTCGAAAAGTTGTATTATGGACCGATTTTCTCGAAATTTGGCACGTAGGTAGCTTATTGCCTGGATTAACACATGTACATATTGCATATTTTTTCTGATGGACCAGCGACCTATCTATTCGAAAAATCTTATTTATGGTGGGATTTTCTTGAAATTTGGTCGGTAGGTAGCTTTTGCTAAGATTAGTATATAGGATTCTTTTTTTCCGGTAAGTAGACCAGGGACCCATCTATTCCAAAAAATCGTATTTATGGTCCGATTTGCTTTAAATTTGGTACGCATTTAGGTAGCTTTTTCCCCAGAATAACATATAGGATTTACACCGGACAATACTGTCATGACAATAGCAATATATGCACACTTTTTCACTAATACATGCATACTTCTTCAATTGTCTTTATCACTGTCTTGATTATTTTGAAGACAGCAAATCGGACAATGATTTGACGTATGCACATTGGTCGAAATGACCTGTTTCAGCGGCAGTAATTCACAGGAAGAAGTTTGAGCTGTAATATTTGGCACATGTATTAGTGACAGTTAAAGAAGTGTACAGTGAAAAAATCAGCTAGTTGGATCGATATATAGGGGAGTTATATCGATTTATATGTCCGTCCGTCGAAATATTGTCCAACCAATTTTTTTTTTTAAATATTTATTAAATCATATTATCAAATTCATTTCTGTACTCAAATACATTAAATAACTTAAACCATATTCTCTGAAAGGTTTATATATAACATCTATCCAGACGGTTCATCAATACTTATTCAAACTGTAAAGAAAGATAAGGTAAAATTAAGAAAATTGTTATGTTAACATTTGTAAATAAACTCTTACGTCAAAATATTCCAACGTTTCTTCGGCATCTAGTTCGATATGCAAATGAGGTATAAAGTCTTCATCTTCAGAATCTGAAGAATTTTCTTTTACTGCAGTACTTGGTGTAGGACATTGACTCTCAGGAATATTAGGAACCTTTAAAAGGTATAAAACTTCTCTTGGAAGAGGAAGTCGTTTCTGGGCCGAAGCGCGGTTTGTTAAACAAATGCTGGACAAAATAGGGTCAGAAGAGTCCATTGCTCTGTTGAAAACATCCATTAAATTATGCTCTCTAGAATCCTTTCTAGCATGCTCAATGCGGTCCTTTTTGTAGAGTTTGTTCCTCGCTTCAGATGCATTTTCTCCTGCACAACCGAGAGGTACGGCTGAAGCTTGTAAGAGAATTTTATGTACAGTCGCGGACATTGGGTACCAATCGTATATTTTAAAATATATTTCAGCAGTCGCATTACATAAATCTTTCAACTTTTCGGGATTTATTTCATATTCACAC